AATAAAGGTAGGGGGGGAAACGGTGTTGGGGGCTTATAAAAGATGAAGGCAACAACTCCAGCACAAAATGTTGTCAAGGCATAAGTTTTTGCAGGATGAAAATGTATGTGTGGAGGTATCACTACACCATGTCTTCCATGCTCTTTCCTAGGCATTATTGACTGCTACTACTGTAATTAAGGAGACAGATCTCTCCACAGATAATTGTGAGCCACAGAAATAAGAAAGAGCCTATGAATCTGTTAATCCTCCCACATCTGCATGGAGCTAAATTTCCCGCACTAAGTCAAGGCATCAGCTCAAATTCTGGCAGCACTCCGCTATTGATTTCTTTTGAATTTCAGCCATACATCTCCCACATCCCTCCCCGTGTCGATCTCTGACAGACAGGGCACGGAGCCAGCTGGACCGGCAGTCCCAGCTGTGGTGCTCTCCCTTACCAGATCCCTGTCGGCACAGGCACTTGGCCCAGCTTTCTTCCAAAAACTGCTAAGGAATGAGGTGTTGCACTGCAGCACGATGTGCTGTCGCATCACGATGTTATCGTTATTAGTTGCCAAAAAGTTAATACTGGCTATTCTGGGCTCCTGCACGTTCGTTTGAACGAACAGAAGTGCTCGTCGCTGCTTTAGGAAGACGCAAAGGCAACTTCTGACAGACCGAGGAACACGAACTTTCCGTAACGTTGCGAACTGCGAGAGCTGAGGGGCAGCGACGAAACCCGCAAGGAGGTGCGGCCCCAGCACCCCCTGACGACGCTCTCCAGACTCGTCGCCACAAGAATCGTCCCGCAGGGATGAGCGCGGTACCCGCGGAGGGCTCCGCAGGCCCCGACAGGAGCCCCGACAGCCCCCAGGGGCTGCCCCCTCCCCGCTCGCCCCTTACCATCTGGGCCACCTTCAGCATGCCGGCGCAGGAGCGGAAATAGGCGCCGTCCATGAGCTCCGCGTCCGAGCCGAGGAGAGGAGAGCGACGGTGAGGGGCGGCGGGGGCGGGGCCCCGCGCTCCCCCCGGTCGGATCACGCCGTGCGTGAGTGAGGGCGTCCGTCAAATGTGCCTTCGCGGGCCCTCGGGAGGGGAACGGGACGGGATGGATGGCGGCGGGGCGGGCGGGGCGGGACGGCGGCGCCCAGGGGCTGCTGCCAGGGCGCCGGGCGGAGGCGGCGCGTCCCTCCCCCGCCCGCGCTGCCGCCCGGGCGGCCGTGGGCGGGCGAGGGCGGGGGTGCGGGTTTTTCTGCCCGCGGCGGTTTCTTCCGCGGGGGAGACGCTGCCGCACCGCTCATGGGGAAGCGGGGTCCGGGACGAAAGCCCACTATTGGGAGAGACGAAGGGAACGCTCCCCGCCGCGCTCGGAGCGAGCCGCGGTGGGACGCCGGCGGCCCCCCGGTGCAGGGGATTACATGGAAACAGAAGGGAAGGTTTCCAGGCAGGAGGAGGGGGCACCTCGCGGTACAGCGCGGGGTCCCGGAGGGGAGCTCCGCAGAGAACCGGCCACCGCAGCGGCGAGCAGCTTTCCTGGGATCCTGAAAGACCCCCTCGGCAGGTCGAGGTTTGTCAGCGATGCTCCTGGCGGGGAGCTACTCCGGTGCTTCGCTGTAGAGGTGCAGCTGCAAACAACATTTTTTCTTTCAAACAAACAACCCAAACCTTCTGATTCCCGATCTTGTAGAAGATAAAACCCATTTGCATTAAATGGACAGTCATTACAGTTTTCTCTGTTGCTGCCCAAGTGTCTCAGCCCCATAGTTTGAATTAGATCATGCAGAGATACTAACAAAACGCAGAAAAGGAAGCTAAATATTTCCTCAAGTTTAAAAATAACTTGTTCTGCTTTCTGACAAGTGAGGTAATAGTGGACCTCTGAGCTGGGTATATGCCACTTTCATACTCATTGAAGTAGTAACCCCATCTTCTGCTGCTCTGTTTTAGAGTTAGGATGTGCATTCTGTTCGTATTTAGTATTTAATAGCTCCTTCAGCAACTAAAATTGTTCTAGGAGGAAAGACAGGCAAGTCCAGATGATCCCCACCACAAATAAGGGGCTAGTGTAAGCAACTTACATAACCAGGATGGGTTTGCCAGGCCAATAGTCTGTAGTAGACTAAGTAGTATATAATTTTGGACTTCTATTAAGCCAGCTAGTAGTTGCAATAGAAGATATTACTTGTCCCACTTCATTTGTCTCACATCATGAGATATCAAATCTACAACACTGGCTACCTCCACAAGAGTAAAATGCTAGCTGCCAGGAAAAAAAGATTTTGTTCTGTTTTTAAACAGCTTTTCCCCCCTCCTCTTCTCCTTAGAGTTCCTATTCAGAAGTGTGCATGGTTACAGGTTTCTATAAACCCTGTGGAGGAAGGTTCTCGTAACTTCTGCACTTCCTATTAAGAAATACGATTTTTTTAACCACTCATTCAGCTTCTTGAGTTCTTCATTTCTTTTGAGACCGTGTATGTGACTGGGGCCCAGGTAATTCGAGTTCAGCCCAGTGAAACAGAAATACCTTTAAATTAATACAAGTAGAATAACAGTTATATTTTCTACTCAATAGAATATATTGAGTAGAATATAGGCATCTTCTGTGAACCACTGGGACAAAGTCAGTCTACAACTCTATTACATTTGAAATTTTTATTATAGTTCTCATGCTATTTACTTTGTACTGTTAAGTGTGTTATGTATGATAATGAAAAAAGATACTGACAACTCCTTAATAAATGAAAAATAATGGCCAAAAGTTGACATCGAGCATCCTTATATATGTAGGTTACTTAGAGTTTTCAGAGAGACTGTCTGAAAGAAGTTATTTATAATATTAAATACCTTCATTTTGCAAGTTGATTAGCATTTTGTTTATTATTCTAAATATCTGTATTAAGAATGTCACTAATGACTTCATCACTTACCAGTTGTTCTTTTAAGGTTTCTTTCAATCTTATGGGTACTAACCTATGCTCGTAGATACAAGTGTTGTTTTAATTGTTATATGATAAACCACAGCTAGCTTGTCTTCTTCATCAATATTAGAATATACAAATGCATTGTCATAGTTTGCAAATCAATATTTAAGACTAATGCACTGGAAGATAACCTTTTGGGCCTTTCTTCAGGCCTGAAATAGGAGGAGGAAACTTCAGGAGGAATGCTCAGTTTGTACAGATTCCTTCAATTTTAACTAGATATTCAGAACACTTGAAAAACAGGTTGGTATCTGAGCAACAGATGAAAAATGAGACAGACGAGAAAGAGCATGGGAAGTAAGACACTTATCTTTCTAAAAGGAAAGAGGAAGGCAGGTAAGTTATGGTTTGGGGGGGGGGGAAAGCAAGGCCAAGCACAAAGCAAATTTTTGTCTAGTATGTATTTTTTAAATTCAGAATTAAGGATTCAAATCACAGATTTGTCTTTGGAAGTCATTCTGCACATCTCCCCTTGAGGCTCAGTGCTGAAGACTCAGAGAACAGGTAGGTATTTTGCCAGAATCATTCCTTATCTGGTTTTGTCCTTCACTAATGGGTTTATTCTGACATGTAACACACAGTTTCCATGACAGTTTTAGATAAACTGGATGAAACATAGAATTTCCTCTTAGCTCTACACTCTCTTGCTACTTCTGTCCACAAATGATGTCTGGGTTCTAACTTTACACCAGAATGTTACAGATACCACAAAATCATGAAATGCTTGTGCAAACATAGTCACATCCTTTGGACTTAAAACAAGTACATCAAATATCATTTAAGAAAGTATTTCTATTACTACTAAAGCATTTTTACTGAGGAGAAATCACTGATGAGATTTTAATTCTGGCTATATTTCTAGTCACATTTTATCAGTTGATATTTAGATCATTCCAATGCCTCTGATTTTTTTTTTTCCAGCAGTGGGAAAAAAAAATATGGGATTTTAATGACACATTTTATCTGTGTAGATAAAATGCATAGTCGGTAGCCATTCTTCCTTCTCACAGCTGGATAATTTTAGCAAGCAGCAAACAGCCTGACCAATGTTGTGCAGGCCAAATGCAATTTGCAGACAAATATAGATTTTTAAATAATATTTTGGCTTCCCTTGCACTGAAATCTTATGACTCCAACAGACAATCAACAACAAAACCATGTGATCGAGAACAGCATTAGCTGGCTGCTGATAAATCTTCCTCTGCAAGCCACATATGTAAGTAACCACACCCCATTTAGTTACAAGGGAAACAGAGGGTTTTTTTAGGCAGTAAGGTTTCTCTACTACCATATATAATCATCCAAGTAAGTTTTTGAAAACTATAAGACAGCCCAAATCTTCTTAATCCAGGAATAAAAGATTCACTAGTAGTTTCAAATTAGGAAAACTTTAAATGACATCACAAAATAACCACAACCTTACACTCTCCACATAATTCCTGGAAAAAAATCCTAAGGTAATTTGTATTTCAAAGTAATTTTCAAAGGTATTCCTTTGGAAAGCCATAATCTCCTGTCATACTCCTGCTTGATACAAAGATATTTAAATGTGAGCCTCAACTTCATTTGTTAAACTAACAAGTTGCAGATGATGCCAGAAGACAAGAAAGGAGGGAGGAATTTCTTTGTTTCTAGCAGTGGTGTCTTCACAATTCTTCTGTGGATTTAACCTTTATATCATTTAATATGATTTAGAAGCCCAGATTTGAATTACAACAGATTAATGGCCTAATCTGAGGAGAAAAAACAAAAAGTACTACCTTTAGCCAGTGATTTGTGATACTCCCAATTGTTTAAGGACTAAGCACTAAGGGACTGTTGGATCTGAGAAACCTGTTAGGATAATGTGTTTCAGGCACAATATACATTCAAAGAGCTTCAGATCTACAGTAGCAGGTTCCAAAAGCAAACTCATAATGTGAGAAGCTGTTAGAATATGCAAACTGACAGGATCATCTGAATTTCTTAGCAGTATGTATTATACTCTGAAAAAGAAATTAAAAAAGCAACCTTCCGCTCCCAGTTTACAAAACATGCACAGTTCGGTCATTTTGTTTATTTATTTTTAAAGTTTCAAATGCTTTTTTTCTACACAATGACACTTTTTATACATAATAATGAGACTATCAATCTTAAGTTTTGATTTGTATCACTCAGTATCAAAAGAATAACTGTAACATTTAAAAAGTTACATTTACAAGTGTGGCAAATTGAATAAGATTTATTAAAGGTTTAGTAGTGACAACTATACAATGTCTAGAAAAATATCATGTTAATTTTAAAAGAAGCAGTATGAAATTTTATTATACAGTAAAAAGTCAGTGTTAGATGTCTCTAAAGATGGCATTATTATAAATAATCATTTGATCTCAGTTTGTAGTGTGTCAGTTCTAACAGAAATGTTCAAAAATACCTCACCCCTCTTCCAAGCTTTTATCAAAAGTGAATAATCCTCAAGATATTTTATATTACAGAATTCATTTTAACAAAATATTTACTGCAAAGTCCGTGATCGCCAGGATATAAGGCTAAAATACGTATTTCCAGCATAGCAGGAGGTAACCACGAAGGCAAAGAACTGCAGAGAAAGGAGGAAAAATATATCAGGAAAAAAAATAAATTTGAGAGCACTGTCATTTCTAAAGGAAAAAAAAATTAGTTATGGGATTTGGAACAAGGAAAATAGCAGGCTGACTAAAATGGCACATGCTCACCTCCTTGTACTTGTGTGGCCATCACATTCAACACTGTGTAAATAAGCTTATATTATGCATAGAAATATGGGCCTGTAAGCAGACAAAACATGGCATATTTCAACTTTTTTTTATAAACTCTACATTACACTGCCTCAGTATGGATCTTATAGACTGGACTGCCACCACTCCTATATTTGCTGCTTTTAAAACCTGAGGGATAGTTCACGGGACAGTGCAAGCTCAAGCTGACACTCCTGTCCTGCTGCTATGTTCCAGGAATTCCTTACAGCCCACCTGTACCTCAATATGGCACATTGTGCATCAAAATAGGTTTGTTTACAGAGAAAACTTGGATTCGAGTTCAGGTCCTGAGGTCTCAAAGAGCACTACTGATTAGGTTGCCAATTCCAGAGATCCTCCACTGATGAATAAAGGTATTCCTCAGTGCAAATAGCAGTGACAGCAACCACGTTGTCATATTACTACTTTGTCAGAAACTGGTAACAGAATAAGCCTTCTATAGCAGCTAGATTTATTTTACGTTTCTAGATTAAAACTACACAGTATCAGTGGTGTTGCTTCTGCAGCCTTTCCAGCACAGACACACAGGAACAAAAGAGCAGCTGTGAACTATTTCAGTTGTACTGATAAAGTCCAACTCAGCGCCAGTGCTTAAGTTCCTGTTAATCACTGCATGTTGTTCAAAACAGATAATGTTCAGTATGGTCTTAATGATAATACCAGAATGTTTTGTGCTGGTAACTGAACCAAATAAAGCTGTCACTGCAAATAGGATTAACACCACTATTCTAAGAGGTGAGCCATGACAGGACAAGAAGGAACAAACGCAAGTTACAAGATGGGAAAGTTAAATTAGAAATTAGGAAAAAAAATAAAAGTCACAGTGTGAATAATCAAGCATGGCAACTGAGGCCCAGAGGCATTGTGGCATAGCCATCCTTGGAAATACTCAAAGCTCAAGTGGACAAGGCCCTGGTAGCCTGATATGAGCTAGCCCTTCTTTAGGAGGGGAAAGAGTTGGAGCAGATGACCTCTAGAAGTCCCTTCTAGACTAAAAATATTTTATGATTCTACAATTTTTCTTTGCTTATATGCCATCATTGGCCTGGGTAGGCACTGCAGCTCTAAGAGAAGGGCACTACTAAGCATGCATCCAGGCAGTAAATCTAAACCTTTCAACACAGGGCTCTTGGTGAGTCTTGTCTAATGGAAATTTACTCTGTGGCACAAAAAACGGTAATGATGATGTAAAATCTTATTACAATAGAAAACTGTAGCATTCTTCTTTTCCAATTATTTTGTTTCTTATTAAGTAAAAGCTCCATCTAAAATCTTCCTAAAAGAATGACTGTTGGGGATAGATGATTTGCTAAATTCTTTATCCATTAAACCCGTAATGGGTTTGGAAAGGAAGAATCTACATTTAATAGTTTATTTAGACACTGCATTAGATAAACATTATTAGAAGGTATTAGAAGAGAATCCAGACATCCCATGAGACACTGAGCATTCATGCACTTTGCATAAAACCTGAATCAGCATGGAAACCTATCTAGCAGCAAGCAAGCTCCTGTCAACTGCAGTGGCTGAGTAACAGATCAATAGTTACAAACTGCCACGGGGAGAAGACCCTGAATACCACTGAAATGACAGGGGCATAGTCATCCAATTCCCAAGACAAAAACAGAGCAGGTATTCAAGTTCCTGTGTTCATGACCATATACAATAATCTTCAGACAGGATTTGTGAATAGTCTGGAGGACAACTACAGAAGCATGAACAGTCAGCAAAGTAGCCATAATTTAGAATTACTGTATACAATTGAATTTGACTACTGTTACCACAACATGCAGAAAGTTCTTTTACAACTCCCTTAACTTAGCTAGTGAATGCATTCACCTACTCAGAAGTGACGAGGCTCTTTTTTTGTTCTTTTTTTGTTGTTGTTGTTGCTTTTTAAAGTTATTTTTCATCCATTTTGACTGTCTGTTTTGGATTTCTAAATCTCAGTAGTAATACAGTAATGTCAGACTAATTAATGATTTGCATCCACTTTAAAACACTGGGAAATTACCAGACTTTTCAGGCATTGCCCACGCAACTCAAAAGACTAATCAAAAGCTGAGGCTGTAACAGGAATATCACTCCAGAAACAGCAATAGCACTTCCCTAAGGGCCTTCCCTAAGGTCTGTGAATATGGCTCAGCCCACAGAAAGCTGAATGCATCTTATCTACCCACATGCATGCAAAGTTAGCTGAGTTAGTTTAAACTGCTTCTGAAGTTGTCCAAATGCATTGAGGTGAGTTGGTGCTCACACAAACTTTGTCTACTCTGATCTGCAGGCTCTAACCTCTGCCAGAGAGTTAGTAATAAATGGGGGTGGGGAGGGGAAAATCAGTGTGATCTTAAAAGCATTGCTACCTTTTCTGATGTGACTATCATCTCCTGATGGAAATCCCAGTCACCTTCAAAAACCATGAACTAAATTACAGCTACATATAGGTTTTGTGTGCGACCTTCTACATCACTCTGCAGCTTTTCAAAATCCAGAACACATGCAACTTCAACCCACACATTCAGTGAGCCTTTATTTGATATAACTTTACTGGACACAGAATTGATTTAAACAAAAACCAAACTCACAGAAGAAGCTGCCCAGCTGTTGTAATTGTGACTGTCCAGATCTTTGGTAACTGAAGATGCATCTACAATGGCAGCAATGAGGTACAAAACAAAGGCACTTCCATTAAAGCACAGACCCTGTTGAAAAACCAAACATAAGTCATTAATATGCACATGCATTTGTTTTCCAACATTACAAATCTCTCCTCTGAAATACACTGAACATATGCAATGTACACTAGAAAAGTGATTCTTAGCTATTTTTACCTTCTTCCAAGTTTCTATCTGTAAGATTAAACTGCTTTGAAGATCCATAAACATTAAACCACGTTTTGGACAAACTGTTATCTCCATCGCACTAAATCCAGAAAAGTCTTAAAGCTGCTGTGCTGTGATTTTCCAAAAGTGAAAATAAAAACACAGTTTGGCTATCACAAACTAAGGGTTAGGCAGTAAGAATATGACATTACATGAAAAAAAAACCAAAAGCCAACCAAACAAAAACCCCAAACCAAAATAAAACTGCTCTTTATTTACATTTTTAATCTACACAAAGATACATTGTAGGAGTCAATAAGGGGTGGCATATGAAGACTATTTATAAAGCTTCCAAAGCTTTGTTTTCTCCACTTCTGAAGGCGATAAAGAAGGTGAAATTTTTTTTTCTTAGTTGTATTCTTCCACCTTTCAGTACCTTTTCCTTCCACCTGTTTTTGAGACGAGAAAGAAACAGGCAAAACCAAGGAGAACAATCTGAACGGACTACGTGGGTCATCGAGACCCCTCCATGGCAGATGTTGGGTTTTCTCTTCCAAGGAGCAAAGTTAATGTCTCAGGGTACTTATGTTCATTACTAGGAAAGAAATAAAGCAGATAACTTTGATCTTGCATGACACTTCAGAGAACAAACAAAAAGTTTGTTTGGTTTTTACATGTGAGAAAGAACAGGAAAGGAAGAGAGAACAGAAGTCTAAGAAGATGAAAGAGAAAAATGTATGAGGGTTTTTTTTAAAGTACATAATTTTAATACTTTGTCCTTTACTTACTCCCTACTTGGTCATGGTTATAGGAAGCTCATTCTTATTAAAAAAAAAATCCCCCCAAACCCTACCCTACTACTTTGTCTAAGGCATATGAATTTGACCATAAAATATACTTTTACTTCACTGTTGCCATGTGTAAGTGAAATATCGGTGATAGGTTTTACATCTAGTTACAGCTGCAAGAATTGGAAGCCCAATATAGACCCAGTCCTAATTTTGTACATAATCAGCTCCCTTCAGCTTCTGGCCCCATGTTTGCACACCAGAGTGTCACACAAATATAACCCTTAAATCTTGTTGCTCCAGTTGTCTAAATGTTGCCATACTGATGTATCTTCAACTTACTAATGCCATGGTGTGACCCAGTGGACGCCAATTATTCACTATTTAATTCACTAGTCACCATCTCTGGCAGAATCTAAAAAAGAGCTGCAGCTCAAGATGAGAAGGAACAGTGGTAAAGAGCCCCTTAAACACCCTGCTGCAGGAAACTGTGGGCAGTGCCTCAGCACTCAGATGGAGTCCAAGGCCTGGCACCTGAGGTTTGATTCACGCACTTAAAAATGGGTGGGGTTTATCTCACCTGTATCAGATGGTCTAATAAAAGGTATTAGCTCTATCCACAGATCTCACCTCTCGTATTATCTGGGCATTACAGCAATAAAATATCAAACTGTCAATTTTAGGAGAAGATGCCAGCAATTGGCAGATTCAGGTGAACTTCTGTAAAGCACTGATTTAGAAACTCTAAATTTGACTACCTAGAGTATTTGTTGTTGTTATTTTCAGATTTCCCATTCCAAAAAGACTCAATTACCCTGGAAAGCTACAAATCCCTGCAATATCTTGTCATGTAGAAAAGAAAAAAGAACATAATTTCTGAGAAGTGCTGCTCTGGGAAATAACACTGTTGGGGAAGATGGAATGCAATGCAAGCTGATTGGGCCTTTACTGCCAATATATTACTCAAACCAAATGGTTCATGCAAAATTACCATCTGCTTCTTAAATTCAAATTTACCAGATTTTAAAAGCTTCCCATTGATTGTTTTAGCAAAGAACTTGCACTATTAAGGAGAGTCAGTTTTGAAGTACATCCTTTGGGTTAATTTGCAGTAAAAGTAACTGCATCTTAAGCAATTTGGTAATGTGCTTAACCTGCAAAAAGTGAATTTATGACAGAGAAATCCAGATGTAATTTTGGATACTGCATACAATAGGAACAGTTTGAGCTAACGGTCGCCTAAGGAGGCACAGCAATAACTAGCAGATACTGAAATTCTGGATATTTCAGAGAATAGGGCGAATGTGGGTGTAAACTCACTCAAAAAGGTGTGTGTCACGCTCTTTTGAATGAAGACATTAACAACACCTCTCTGAAAAGAAACTCAACATTCCTCTTGGTCAGACAGGAGCAACAGAGGACCAACTCAAAGGCTGTTCCCAACAGCTCTTTTAATACCTTAGGGCAAGACAAGTTGGAATGCAAGCATCTTTTATTTATTTTGCATTTATTTTCTCTTTATTTTACCCTTTAACATAAAAGGAGTCTACCTTTTGGACCTACATTTTATGTGTGTATCACATATTATGTGATCTTATTTACAGTATGTTTGGAACTCAGAGCAAGAAATACACTCGATATGAAGCAGAAACAAATCAAATACTCCAGCTTGTCTTCCACATAGATCAGGGTCAACTCATTTATGTGCAGTTGTCTAATAATAGGGTTCAACTGATGAAAGAGGGGTAATGACCAAAGCTTTATTCAAATGGATACAAAGATGTTTTCCCTTTGAATGTACCTTACTTACATCTAATGCAATGGGGAACACCCCCCCCCCCTTTAAATGTACCCAGACACATTACTGCTGTAATTGAAATAATCCAACATTTCTATAGCAGTGTTACAGCCTTAATGGTAATTGCTGGTCATGAAACTTGAAAACAGAAAAGCTATCTGAACATAATCCTGGTTGTTCTTATTAGTAATTGCTATAGCTGGCTATTTATTACAGCAGCAAATGGGAATACTAAGAGAGTATTCTAGTATTCAATTTTATTCATGTACACAATATAGCTGATAACAAGCTGTTAGCAACACAGAAGTCAAATACATTTCATCATAAAAATAACAGAATTGTAGTTAATAATCTCTAGCTAGTAAAAACCAACCAACCAACCAACCAAATAAATACATAAATAAATAATTAAGAACAGTCTCTCATTATATCTGACAAATGTAAAGCTAAGATTTATAGCAATTCTTGGATGGGTCACAAATGGCCAGCTGGCTGAGATGACAATGGCTTTTAGGATCTATTATCCTGAAGATCAGCCTGTTATGCAAATGATGTAAAAATATACTGTTGAGAGTTAGAGCTAGCCAGGTTTGTTCAAACCATAAAAACTGGATCTGAATTTTAAGTGCCTGTGAAATTTTTCTGTAATTACATTAGCTGTTTATCTGATCTGCTTTAAGTCTTGAGCTAAAAGCAAAGGATTATGTGCTACATATTTTACATGTATATAACTCTAACTTTCAGTACCCTTTTCACAGCAGACTACATATGGATTGTCAGACTGTTGCTACCTCTGAACCACCTTTGCTTTTACTTTAGCAGAGGAAGACTCATGTTTTGAGAGCTCAGGTCCCAGTTCTAATTCATAGTGTTGATTCCAGTAGGGATTTCTGCTTTTTAAGCCATATGGCTGGGTCTGTTAGCTCAGAGGCAGCAATAGACTCATTCTTCATGGGATGTAACCACTACATAGAGAAAAAGAGGTCACTGTGCATGAGTATCAGTCACATGCACATTATTAAAAATCAAGTCACCACATCAACCACTGAACAAAATGGTGAAATATCATAGGAAAAGTGTTTTAAAAGTGTCTGGGTATGATGAAGGTTAAACACTGCAGGTACACAGCCACCCAGTAATTAGGGAAAAATCTGCAAAGAGCACAAGTACAGTTGGTTAACTATACCCATAGAATGCACCAATATTTTATGCTATTTGTAACCCAGCAAACCCAAAACAACAAAGAATGAGTATATTTACCACCATGGTCCATGGCACCTGGGGGATCCTAGTGTAGGTCATTGTCATGTAGATGATCAGAAAGAAGACAGTGAGAACCCAGTAAAACACAGCTACAAACATCACCCAGCCGAAGGCTGGATATAGAAAGTATTCTGTTCCAGCAATCAGGGTCCACACCAGCAGCCCCAATACCTGCAAAAGTTATGGAGAAGAAAGAAAACTGTTAGGCATCTTAGACCTCATACATTTGTTCTAGGTCAAGGAGTGACACCACTGCAATTCACAAAACCATTTGATGAGCTGAGTTGGGATGCTACACTGACAGAACACTAATCTAAAAAAGAAGAACACATAAAACTTCTTTTATTGTGGCAGGGTGTCACAAAGGAAAAGGCATCTAATCTATTTATCTACAGAATAAAACCCACAGAATATTCTGAGTTGGAAGGCACCCACAAGGATCATCGCGTCCGACTCGAGTGAACAGCCCATATGGGGATCAAACCCACCACCTTGGTGTTATTAACACCATGCTCTAACCCACTGAGCTAATCTCGGGGATTTAGCTCACCTCTAACTATTATGGAACCATACTTGCAGTGGTTTTACAGCTAGCTCTCAAAAGAATTGCTTATTATAGCCTACTAGCTGATGTGCATGAAGGTAAACACTACTATTTCACTGTCAGCAAAGTCTCCATAGAAACAAAAGAATCCCTGTAAGGTCCACTGGGATCTTCAGGTTCTATCTGCCACAGACATGAGTAACTCCTTAGTTGAAGTCCAGTTCCAAAAGGGTCCACATGCACATTGTTGAGTGGCAGGCACCACAGACACAAACCAACTCCTAGGACCTTACTATAAAAGGTAGAAGTAAAATATCAACACCTCTTAACATGTAACCGTAACTCCAGCAGAGCAAGTCCGGTCAGGAATGTCATTGTATTCCACAGTTCTTGAAACATCTCCCAGGCGACCTGACCCTAAGTAGTAGACAAGAACTCACATTCAAGCAAAGTCCCCAAGCAAACCAGTCTGGGGAAAAAACCTTGTTCCTGATCCCCGATCTGCCAATCTGTTCACATCTGAGACATGAAGAAATGCATGAACCAGGGGTTTTAACATCCTCTGTCCAGCTTTCTCTATTGTTAGGTGATCTCCAGTGCATTAAGAGAAATGAGGACCAAACAAAACAAAAGTCAAGTCATATGCCACAGGAAAAAAGAAAGTTGTGTGTTTTGCAAGTTGTCCGGCAATTAGAAAAATATCAATTATAAAAAGAAAGGAATATTTTATACCTTAAAAACAGGCAAACACAAAAACCGAATCCTACCCCACACATTTTAATGGAGTCAGATGAGGAAACTAGAATGTCTGTATTTGAAACAAGGCTTACATCTTTCTGCTATGGCAAAATTGCCTGGCAATGAGAAATAGAAGTATTACAAAATTAAAGCAAATAGCAACACATTTAACAGACAACAGCCTTAGCTGGACAATCTAAAGAACCTTCTACCCCAATATTCTATCTCTAGCAGTGGTTAGTAACAGATATCTGAAGAAATATATAGGAAAGAATAGACCATGCAATAGTCATATTTTCTTAGGACTACCTTCCTCAGCTCTCAGGAATGTGCAGTGAAGGAACTTCCTGATCCTATGGTGATATCTTTGTAATCAATAGCCCCTGATAGAAGAGGATGGTTTTGCTACAGCTTCATTTGCACAAGAACTAACCCTATTTCCATGCAAGCTGCTGGACCTGGTCCCATTTACTTTTCTATTGCAGAATTGAACATGTATATAATGTTTAGAGATTTATCATTAATGCTTACAAGAAAAACTATACTGTTAAAAAAATTTATTGTAATTGTTCTGGTCACTACCTTCCATCTGTTTATTTTGTCTTCAATTCATCCTCCAAACTGCCACCCAAACTTAACTCAGCCCTCAATTTGTTTTCTTGTGTGCTCACTGTAGATGCGTGTATATTTTTGTATTAATCCACATCTGCACCATGCATACATAAAAGCACTGCACAAATGTCTGTTTCATGGTTTGTTTGGGGCTTTTTTCTCTTTTAATAGAGAAGGCATATAATGGTCTGTTTAAAAGCATATTTTATTGCCACCATTTTCACCAATTCAGCAATTTCTCTTTAATAGGAAGCTCTAGAACTTGCTCAGACTGCAATAAAAATTCCTACTTTTCCCAGCATACCAGGGGAGGGCAGCATTGCCTCATAAGAACAGCTCAAATAGCGTTCTTTAAAATATACACTATTTTCAATGTGAAGTAATCAGTTCAGCAATGCTCCCAATAGTTCATTTTAATTCTACTTCCAACATTTTACCAACAGTAGCAATTCAGTTAATAGGACCTCAAATTGCATGAACTACCCACAACCAGATAAAAACCAACTCAATTTTAATGTAACAACAGTTTTAAGAGCAAACAACTTTGATAGACTGTTTAGCTAACAAAATACCATTTTATTGGGATACAAAGTTGTTTCTCATAATGCCCATCCACTTTAATCTAGATTTAAACTCATAATCCAGAAATTATACCAATAAATAATTGGTCTTGTGCTTGATAAATAATTATTAAAGGCACATTTATCCTAAATCTGAGTATCTAGTAAAATACCTCAAGAACAGAAACTTGGAAGATGAGACAAGCAAAGAAATTAAACATCATTAAACACTCTGCTGACAACAGTGTTGGATTTTAGAACACTTTTAAAAAATAGAAGTAGATTTTTTCATAAAATGCACAAGACTATGAAAAATCTTTAATACTAAATTCAACACAAATAAGATTGATAAGGACACCTCAGCTTATGTAACAAATTATTTCTCAAAAGAGTGAAATCTTCACAAGCAGCAAATTATTAAAATTAAAAAGGAAAATTCTGAGGTTACATGAGACCATTAATCTTACATTACCACACAACAAAGCAAGCAAGACATTCACTAGAGCACTGATATTCACATTGGTCACTGTTTTTTCCAGTAATATTCTAACCTGGTGTTATCAGCTCTCTTTCAAGATTATTTAAATATTTTTAAGTGGCTGTACATCTCACATGTTTAACAAAGAATTGCTTTTAATGCATGCTTTTAGCTAGCTTGTATCAATGGCAGAACAATTCACCCAGGCAATTTAGATGCACCACAGATGTTACAGATTTATATTCTTAAGCAGTTCTTGCATCGTAACTTTGATGGGTTGCATATTAGAGTGCATTTGACATTTTCAGTTAGATCCAGATACTCTTACAGCATATTATGGAGCTGACAGGCTAAAATAATATTTCAGATTTCTTGATTAGACCTGAAAAGGTCAGATCAGCTCATGGTCAACAATTCACTGCGTGTAGTTAAATGATATGGCAAATGGTTTTGCTGCATATGTAAACATATGCAATAAATTGATTTGTTCAGAATGCTGCTTTTCCTACTGATTTGATATCAAGCCTCCCCACTGGGAAAAACTGGACTGTATTCAAATGTCATCTCAATAAGCATCCGGTGTACGGAATCTGGCAAGTGAGTGATAGGCACGCAATGCCGCAAAGCAAAGATCAGCAACTGCTCTACCTGGGGAGTGCCCACAGTAATTCAGTGTGCACAGGCTGTACACAGCTACCTTCACTGCTTCAGATCAGCTGAAAAACAAGGGAGAAAGCTCCACTCTGTAGCCAGGAAAGGCCTGTATCTCATCATAACCAGGTAGGCTAGAGTGCATGAGTAATAGCTAAGCATTTGATTTTAATTTATGAGCAAGTTAGAATATGCTTAATTAGAATTTCAGGAATATACTACAAACCTGTAAAAAATGAGCCTGAGAAAGGGGAGGAAGATGACCCAAGAAAATAATGCATGTGGTAATCAATGAGAGGGTCCAATGCTGGGTCCTAAGACCACAAGGGCTCCACCAACTGGGTCCAATTTTTCAAGTCAGATGAGAGACGGGGATTTCAGTACATGATAAAGGGAAGCAGTTTTCTCTTGTTTATGGCAGTCTCTGATTTCAACTCGGACATCTATTTTGTGGTCATTTGGCTGCTGTTTGATCAGGTACCTCCATTACTAAAGTGCATTAATATGTCAAATGCACTAATGCATACTTCAGCAGTTGGCAGACACCATTAAAAGGAAGTAACTTTGTAGCAAAGTCCAATATTATTGAGTCTGCAGGTTTAAAATTAGATGCTTAATTGCATATTCAAACCCTTAAATAAGCGCCATAATTCTTCTTCAGTGTCGAGAACTTCAAAAGTATCAGATTATTTAGTCACTTTAAAAAAAAAAAAAGGCTTTGTTGCCTGGTACATGAGACATATCTTGTCTCATGTCACTGGTACAAGTCAACAGGTATGAAAGCAGATGTGAGCTTTAATCTGTATATCCAGTTTGGTTTTTTGAAGTAGCTTAAAAACTGCAGAACAGAATTTGTACTTGCAAACTGCATTTTAAAAGGCTACAATGTAACAACTCCTCTACAGTGATGCCAGTGTTAGGAATTCTCCAGCATTTATCTTGAGTGGTTAACTCCACAATATGGTGGATCCCACAATATGGGATGTGTATACATCCCTTTCAGAGGAAAAAGAAGTTTCATTGTAGCAGAATTGACAGGAAGAATAACCCAGGGCTCATCTTTGAAAACAGGCTCATGAAATAAAAAAAAATAAATAAATTGGCATGCTTGCCTGAAGCTTTTCCTATCCTTTATCCAAGAGATGCTTCCTGTGACCATAAGTACTGTAGGATTTATACAGAGTTGCTCCTGGCACAGATGGAAATGATGGCAGAAGGGTACCAGAAGAGTTGTGCATTTGCAGCACGAATTGTCTCCTGTACGCAAAGGCACCTAAACATGGACAGAATCCAGCAAGTAGAAAGCAAGACATCTTGCCTTTCCTTCCCAAGAAAGGAGATCTATGAGTACAAAAAAAAGAGACACCGTTCTAAATTATTGCACATCATTATTTCAGTACTAAATCACAAGTTAGGAGCTACTGCAGTAGCAGCACAAGCAGCCTACGAATGTCTAAACCTCCATCCTTTTCTCCCCTTGGCTACATATCAGGGTGGTGGTGGTGTGGTTTTTAAGGAGAAAACAAGAGGGAGAAAAAGAGCATTCTCCATCTATTGTTCCTGTAAGACATGTCCAGGACAGTCAGTCAGTCATAAGAACAGGCAGATTTAATTGTATTGTATTTTACAAATACAGAATTACTTCTTTAAATTTATTTATTCCCAGCTATGGCT